GGTCCGGTACGGGGGCAACACTGAGGGTTGCGATCCGTTGCTGGACACAGAAAAAAGACAAAAGACAAAAAAAATAAAAAAAATAAAAATGCAATCAAAATTCCTTCTCTGCTTAAAATACCTCAGTGACACCCACTGCTTGTAGGATAAAGTCCTAACTCCTTTATCCTTCATGGAGAAATTCCTTAAGATTCGCAGTTCTGTCTCCTCTTGCTCTCCCCACACGTACCACTGCCTGCCCCCATGTTGGGAAAATATAAGAAAATGGTCAGGGCCCCTCAGATGTGGAGAATCTTGCTAAGCATTTGATGTAAATATGCAGGTGCACCCAGGTGTTCTTTGGTTATTGTCTAATGTAATTGCTCATGTCCACCCAGGTGTCCNCTCGGTGTCACTCCCGCGCCTCGCTCAGCCAGTGAGTGGGAACCGGTCTGTTTGTGGGATCCGAACCCTCGGGCGGGAGCGCCGCGGCGTTTCCCAAGCGGCGCACTTATCCAGTGCGCCACCGGGCCGGCCCAAGAACAGCAAACTTTCATCACAATAATAAATCAGAAGAAAAGAGAGCTGACCTGAATTCTACTCACCACTCAGCTAGGAAATCCTGGTAACCCACCTAACTACTCTGTTACATTAAGTGAATTAAATCACAGTATCTGCCTAGAGGAAAATGGATATAAGGATTTTTGAGGGCTTGCGAAGTGATGCTGATGTTTGATATTCATTATAAACACAGGATGTTTCAATGCTGGGAGGAATCCAAGCTGCCAGACTCCTCTCCTGCAGTCCCTCAGTGGCATCAGCATACACCAAGCGTGCACTTGCTCGCCTCCCCGTCCTCTGAGTTGCTCACTGAGGCATGGCAATCTGATCTTCTGTCTCTTCTATCTAATCCTTCCTCTCCACTTCCACTGCCACTATCTTGGTTCAGCTTTTCATTACTTCTAGCCTGGGCAACTGCTACAGTTTGCGGATAGGTCTACCTGTTTCTAATCTTGTCTCCATCTGTCCATTTTCTACAGAGATAACAGAATAATAGTCTTTAAAAATAAAAAGGCAGGGCCGGCCCGGTGGCGCACTGGATAGTGCGCCGCTTGGGAAGCGCGGCGGCGCTCCCACCCGAGGGTTCGGATCCCACATACAGACCGGTTCCCGCTCACTGGTTGAGCGAGGTGCAGGGGCGACGCCGAGGGTTGCAATCCCGTTGCCGGTCCCCGGTCCGGTACGGGGGCAACACTGAGGGTTGCGATCCGTTGCTGGACACAGAAAAAAGACAAAAGACAAAAAAAATAAA